GCCAGGTGTTGCGGCGGGGCGTTCAGCAGCACCGGCAACAGGCACTTGAGCTTTCCCAAATTTCAGGAAATCACCTCGGAATCTCCTTTTACTGCAGGCACTTCCAAAGTTCTTATCCTGAGATGGGGAGCCCTGTGTCCGTGGGATGACAGGCCTGCTGAAATTTCAGAGATATTTTGGGATACTTTTGGGATATTTTGCTTTGCAGTCTCATAAACTTCTCACCCTTCAGATACTAGGGCCCAACTATAGGGCTTGTGCTGTAAAGAAAGTTTTTAATAGGATGTGAAAAGTTTTGTTGAACTAAAAAATCGCCCTCTGTGCTGTTTCCGAGGCTCGCACGGACTTTCATGGTGTTGTGTGACCCTCCTGCCTGCGCTGCGTGTCATCACAAAAACTAACCAGTGTAGTCTCAGTATTTGCTGGCCAAAAAGCTTTAATGTCTTCACAGCGAAAATGTCCTGCTGCCGCGATGCCTGCGGTGGCACCGGGAGAGGCTCCCGGAGCTGCTCCTCGTGGACGCTCGGAGCCGGTTTCAGTGGGAGCGCAGGAAAACCGGTGCTCCCGGCGGGCTCCTGTGTGGGAGCAGCAGCAGCTCCTGCTGCGCAAGCCCCCAGGGCTGCCCCATTTCTGTCCCCATTAACAGCATTGCAGCCAGCTGGGCAGGCATCCTTTTAATTCCCCATTTATTTTGTTCAAAAGTCCAATCTTGCTGTTGTAAGAGGTCCCCCCGCCTCCCAGCTCTGTTGTGCACGATGTAGAAATGCAGCTGAAATTATTCTGCCTTGCAGAAACAGGATCAGGCTCACAGGGGAAAAGTAGTCGTGTTTTCAGTGAATTATAAAGCCAAGGTAATGAGTGTGTGTAGGCTGCAGACACATTCTTCTCCCATTGTTCAAAGCTCGTCTTCTGGCTTTTGGGGCTGCGACTTTGACAAGTACGAGCTTGATGAGCATTTAATGCTCTGCTACGTTCATGGGAAAGAGGAGCATCTGGATTGTGTGTGAATATTGTTATTTAATAATGCATCCCTTGTGTGATGTTGACTGGACGTTAAAAMAACAAAAACCATGGCAGAAATATGTAGATGAGGGCAGTTGCAAAATATTCTTGTTTTCCGCGTCTCTCACTGAATTATCTCTATTAATGTAGGATTATCAAAGAGCCAATTACTGCTGTGGATATTTTGGAAATTACGGCAGCTCCTGACCTTCGTAGTTGTTAGTTCCCAGGCTCCCAGACTTCTCCAAGCTTTGGCTGGTAGCTTGGTTAGAGGACCAGGATATAGCTCTGTCTCCTTTGCTTTTCCTCATGCTTGCTGCTGATTTTTGGCATAGCTTGCTGGTGAGAATGTGGGCTTTGAGGGATTCATTGAAGGATTCACTTGGTTTTTAAGGCCCTCCAAGGGGCCTTATGGTTCAATTTACTGATTTCCATGTTTAAAAATGTACTCTGTTGTGGCAAGTTTGGGTTTTAAAAGTTTTGCAAGTGTGCCCAGAGTCGAGAAGAAAACTTTTCACATCATTTCTGTGCTGTGAGGAGTGGAGACTCKTAAGTTGCATACAGTAAGAGTATTCCTTTTTCTAAATAGCTTCCTATTTTGGACCTCATGTGTTCCCTGAGTAGCTGGGATGTTTTTATCTGCTTTACGACACTTGTTTCCTTGAGTTATCAGAGATGCTCTCGTTGTACAGAGCTCGCTGCTTCCTGGGCAGCCTGTTTGTTCAGGCATGGAATTCCCTCCTGTGGAAAGTTACCAAAGGAGTGTATGGTGTTTGGTGACACTTCTGAAAATCCAGATAACTTCTGGTCCAGTAATAACAGGAGAATGCGAGCAAGTACCTACCTGAATAGGTAACCCAATCCTCTTGTCAGAAGAAGTTAAGGAAAGTCCTGCTGAATTTCATTTACCTTTTATTTTAAATAAACAAAATGATTATACTAAAGTGTTTGTCTGTCACAGAATTGCTGGGCCTGTGACAAGTTTCCAGCTTTTCCTGCGCAYTGGACGTTGTCAGCATCCCGGAGCTGGGTGCTTCTTTATGCCATCGCGTGGCAGGAACAGTTGCTGTTACGTGAAGGGTATTAAAACGTGCCTCGAAGCGAGTCTGCAGCTCGTCCCCACAGCTGTGTTCCCAGGAAGCAAGGGATGTTTTATCCTTACCTTCCTGACAGTGTTGCTCTTGGCCTGCCGAGGAAGGGGGTTAGGGAAAACCACAAAGTGGGAGGGCTTCTTCTCTAGTCTGGCCTAGCGTGTGAAGGGGGAGGATCAAAAAAATCCTGACCTTGGATTTAAGTGTGAACAAAGTGAGGTAAGCAGAAATRGGTATGTTTTCAGTGACTTTTTTTTCAGCGTTTTCCGTGCCTACATGTTCACATCTGAGCAAAAACAGTCATGCAGAGTAGCTCTCTGGTACCGGTGTGAATAGAGGTGCACACTTTCCACAGCATTTCGCCTCCTGTCATACCCCAGAGCTTAGACCTAGGAGGGCCACTGGCTCCTTTGGACCTTTGAGAGAGCTTAAGTGTCATCTGTGCTTTAGTCCAGTGACCTGGCTGCCTTGAAAAGCACTTCTTGCCTTGCTTGCAAGGAAGTCAGGTGAAGAATTCATTGCTTGCCTTGGATGCTCCAGTTGGAGTGGAATGTAGCCTGGTGGATATGATCAGTGTTCCCTGTGATGTCAGCAAATATACTTACCTGGGGTGATTTTTCCTTTGCTTCAGGTAATGGGTGAAAGTACCAAGCAGCATCAGGCTTTCTAGGGAATTGCCTGATACCTGTTCAGTTCACACCAAAATACTAAATGCTGCTGCTGCCTCCTAATTGATAGCCCTTCATAAACATCTCTGAAATGACAGATTTTTAGTTCATTTAGTGGTTTATTGGTGCAAGATGACTGCCCTCAGCAAGACTATTGTAGTACAGTATGAAACTAAGAAAYGTGTGTAAGCATCTGCAGTCTGCATAAATGGAAGGTTATGTGTTCAGTAACCAAAGAAGGAATGAGACTTACCTTTTTTTTTAATTTCTTTTGATTTAAAAGTAGACAGAGGGCGTGTATATAACATATTATAAAGATAATGCCTTGTTTCTTCCATTTATTGTATATTTAATATCTCAAAGTCCAATTTTAACATGATCACTTTAACTACTTTTCTTTGGGAAACTGAAATCGGAGTCTATTATGCTCATCTAGCCCTTAGGGGTAGCTTCATCTCTTGATTTTATTTTTTGTTGTGCTTTTTGTCGTTACATTACACCTATAGATGTCTAATTACACCTATATCTGAGCTCCAGCGTGGTTCTCTGGATGCGTTTTTCAAGTAGTGAAGAACTTGCCCGCTCCAGCTAAGTTGTTTCACTAATAAGTTAATTGTAGATGAAGAATTTGGATGACTAATTCTCCTCTGCTAAATTGAAGAACTCTTCTTTCACTCCACGTAACTCTTTAGGTCGTAGTTCAGTGTGTTCATAGCTTATAGCATTTACATTTATTGCTGTAAAGCTTTATCTTCGGACCTTTGCACCSAGTCATCTGTATGCTGAATGTTCTTCTTGGCGTGTGGATGCCAGATCTGGAATCAGTGTTTTGATAACCATCTCTGGAACAATCTAGTCCTTATTTAAAAGCAATGCCACTTTCCGACTCCCTCTTCCCAGGCGTTGCTGGAAGCAGTGGCAGCCTCCTTTTTTTCTCCCTTCCTGCTTTTACTTCTGCCTCCCCTCTGGAATATCAGAAAAGGTGTTTGGGTAATCCCATAGCTCGTACCCGGCCTGTGCTGTAGACCAGGAGCATGAAACAACCTGCTTTAATTGCAGTCGATACCAACTGAGTTACTKTTATTGTAGGAAGAGGGGTGTTCAATGCTGTAGCTGCTCACGCTCTGCTGGGAAAAAGCAAAAACAGGGAAGACAAAACCAAGTTAAGTAGCAAAGGTTGTTAGTGTTTGACATTGTAATTGGAAATATGAAAGGTGTTTTTGAGTTAACGTGGCTTTAAAGTAATTTTGTTTGGCTCTTACTGGTCTTTATGTAGCACACAATGAGGAAAACTACTTTTAAAGTTGCCAGTAAGCAGTGGAGGGAAATGGTGACGAAATCGCCAGCTGAAAAACATCTGAAGAAATCTGAGAAATGACTCTGCTCATTAAGTGTGTGGGGCTGCCTTGGTGCAAGGGGAAGTGCAACGACTTGCTGGGGAGAACGGGTGAGCGTGTGAAACAGCGACTGCAAA